CTGAGAATGTCTTACACAGTCCTGATGCTAACAGATCCTCTGGTCAGACAGACAAGCTGCAAAGAGAGTTGCTTGGAAATTTTCCATGTGAATGATTATTTACAATGGGAAATTCAGCTTTCTGCAGAAAAAAAAAAAAAAAAAAAAGAGATTTGCTCACACTGGGAAAATCAAATGGTAATGAGTAGTTTCAATTGCATTGACCTAAATGGAGCTGACCTAGAATATTTCATTTCAGTTCAGTTCTTCAGAAGATAACATTGGTTTCCTAGCAGTGAGCTCATTGCTTAATGATAGGTGTAGTTTGAGGGCCTGGTCCCTTCAAGAATCTGAGTTTCCCAGAGAACCACTGCAGCTTTGGTATCTCTATCAACATGTGCATTTCCAAGGAGTTTAATTAGCCAAGATAAACATTTTATTTTGTGTAACAATAAATAATTTAATCTCAGTTTAAAAAAAAAAATCATTTTGGGACAAAACCAGAAGTTGAAACATTTTCATCTTCTATGGGGTGAAAACTCAGAAATTTTCTCCTTGTGGCAAGAGACCCACCATGATGTTGCCTCTCATCTCCTCGTTGAGGTTGGTATCATTCAGATTCTGTTAAAAAATCATAGCTCTGCAGCCCTTGTGCAGTTCTCTACAGATTTTAGCATGCACTTTTAATAGTATTATTAAGACCCTTTTAGCAACACAGAGACTGTTATAGCTGGGTTGACTGAGGTGGCTAGCCAGCTGTGTTGTCATTGCATCCCTGTGAATCATTGCCTAATGCAAAGGACTAGGGTGGGTTTTTTCAGATGAGTTGTCAGTCAGCCAAAAACCTTTTATTCTCTCCTGCAGTCCTGCCACACGCAGAGCAGTAAGTGATGATTCTGAAGTTATCACTTGGCCTGGAGCTAAGCACAAGCAAACTAGGCAATTATTTAGCACAGCTAAACGTGGGACATTAAAACAGCTGTGACCCCACTGCCCATGTCAGAGCCCAGAAAGCCAAGCTGGCTGCTGCCTTTGAAAGGCCAGAGGGTGCACAGTCCAGCTAGCCCTGGGGTTGAAGAGCAGCAGTGTCCTTGGGGCAGTGGGAAGCTTGGTTCCCCAGGGGCCAGCCCCAGGAGCTCTGTCCCACTTTTGCCCCTTCCTCCTCTCCCTTTTCTGTGGCAAGAGGTCAATGTGGTGTCCCAACACCACATCCTACTGATGGCAAAAGGCAGTTTTGCCTCCACTGATAGGAAACCTTGAACGAACCTGAACAAAAAGGTCTTTGCTGTTGCAAAGGAGCTGTGAAGCAGAATATTCTTAAAATGGAAGCGCACACATAAGGCTCCTGTGCACAACACCCTCTGTAGTGTTAAAGCACTTATGTCATTTTGCTGACCTGAAGTGGGATGGTATGCAGGCTTTCTTGTTGCAAAGAGCTTACAGCGTTTTGGCTAAGATTGTTCATGGATGACTATTCAGTTGCCCTTGCACAGTCTAAGTAACACTTAATTCCTTTCAGTCACAAATTATATGCTTCTACTTAACAATAGGAGATACCAGCCTCAAACTTTCCTCCCTAAAACCAAATTTAGCAAAGAGACATGAAAATGGGAAACAAAACAAGAGTTGCTTCAAGCCTCTGAAATAAATCCATCTCATATCTGAGAATCAAGAGAGATCTGAAGAAGGAAGTGTTATACTTCTCCAGCTATGATAGTCATGGCAATGAATTTCATGAATTAAGTTAGTACACAAAGTCTTTCCTATAGCATTGGATTCTTCAATATAATAACTGCTTTAGATGCTAGAGTCTATGCTTTGTATATAATTAATTCCTGTACTGAAGAGATGTCATTGCCTCTTCTTGTGGTCCAGGGAAAACATGCAGATCTTCTGCTGGTACCTCTGACTAGAGGTACCTTTTGTGCCAGAGAATGGTATGTGTCAGGTCAATGGATGGGGCTGTGGATCAGTGGATTCACACCAGTGGATGGGTGGAATAGCTTTAACCTTCCCTCCTCCCTGGCTGGCCCCAGCCCACAGCTGACTGTGGTGGGCAGAACAAGAGTGTGATCGCAGTGTGATCGCAGCTGCTTTGCACGCCTACACTTTGGGCCACTGCCAGGGGTATCACAAATAGGCACTTTTGCCACAGTTTATTGAAGTGAATTTGCTTATGTTTCTGTCACTGAGCGACAGATGCGATCAACTTGGCAGTGATCAGGACTGCTTGGTGGAATATTTGTAATAGTCTTTTAAAAATAGCTCATGTTATTGGGTAGAAAACATTTTAGACACAGAGTCAGACATGTAAAAGGACTGCATATGGTAGTCAGAAAGCAAACTGAGAGCAGAAGTTTAAAAAACAGTCCTGCTGACATGATGTGAATGCATTTGGCTGCACCCTATGCTTCAGGTACTTATCACGAGCAGGGTGCTGGCTCCTGGACGTGAGTCATCCAGCAAATATTGCAAATAACATGTTCAGAATTGCCAGATTTTAGGTGTAAGCAGAAGCATCTTTGGCATACATACCCACTGAAATCATGAAGAGGTGCCCACTATAAACCTGAGTATTGAGTTGCAGAAAGAGCCCTCTGGTGTGTACCTCACTCGTATAGTATTAAATATATGCCAAACTTCTTTAATTGTTTCTGTAGCTTACTGCAGGGAGCTCAAAACTGTTGGTATACAGAAAAGTAATTTCTAGGTTTGTTCACAACTGTGTTTGAAGCAGCATGTTATTATTTCTGAGAAACTGAAATATTCAGTGACGCAAAATTATAGTTTCCCTGCCTAGAACAGCATCCCCTTAAAACAGGATGCCAAGAGCAATATAGCCTCAGAGGGTATTTATAATAGAGAAGGAAATACTATGAGTATGCTAGACTGAAATCCATGCTCTTTGTGTCATTTCTATGTTCTGTCACAGCCTTCCTGAAAGCTGCTGCACAAATCACTTCGGACAATAATTTTCTTATTATTCAGGTGCCCAATTCTAACTGAAAATTAATTCAGCACCTAAATACTTTTCCATTTTTACTCGTAGTCCATTTGCAGCTGTGTCACTCCTGTCAATAGGACTAACAGCGATATTCTGATGACAGCAACGCTGAGAGCCCCCGAGCCACTCCCTTATTATATCGCTACCACACTGCTGAGGATACTGCAGAAGAGCAAGGACCAGAATGGATTTTAATATGAAATTTGAAAAGAGAGCATGAATTTGACGGGCTAACAGTGTGAAACACCGATTTAAACACAGTTATCAAGCTGTACATTAAGAAATGCCGAAGTGTCTTCTACAAAGACAAGGCATTAAGGCAGATGATGTGAAGGGGCAGAAAATGCAGGGACGGCGAACAAGGAGTAAGCATCATAACAGCAAACTCCTGTCATTTAACATCATCACATTCTGTCACTGCTTTTTGACTCAGGCAATTTTCCAGCTTTCAGGGTTTCAGTTTGCATTCAAGGAGTGAACATCTGGACTGTTCCAAAAATGACTGCTGAACTGCAGAAGTGGTTGGTCAGACACATTTGATCATTGATGCCATAGTGATCTGTGGTGAACAGCCTTAAGGAGTCAACAGACACTTTTTCCCATCACATAGTTTGTTGACATAAGAGTTAAGTTTCTCAGCTTCAACACCAATTCTTACAGACTATGAATTTCATTACACCTGCCACCAAGGTCATTGGAAAAATCAGGTGCAAGACTCATTTGCAACCATTCAACCTGGCCCATTCAAGTGGGGATAAGGTCACCTTCAGTTAATAAAAGTTGTGGGAATATCTCATTTACATCATCAATTAAAAGCATTCAGAAGTTTTTATAGCCCTGAGTATGCAAGTTTGTGACAACCCAGGATCCTGCAATTTCTGTCTGTTTCTCTCCATCATGACATAAAAGCCAAATGTATGAAAGTTAGCATTGGTGAAAGTGACTTTAAGATAATACTGTGTCATCATTTTATTAAAAGGTCAATTTAAAAAAATCCTATTAAATTAAAAAGATAAGTGAAAAAATCCTAAGTGCAATCAGCCATTCAATATTCACCCCTCAGCAAGATTCAAAAAGGACATTCATGCTTTTAAGTTTCTTTAATAATCAGTTTCTTCTCCTCCTTGGAAGAAAGTCAATATGCTAACTTTCAGAATTGAGCTGTAGGTCAAATGTTTTTTTCTTTTGACTATTAAAGCCTCAGAGAGAAAATATTGCTTAAGAGAAAATATCACTTCAGAGTGGATCAGGATGAAATCTGTTTGAAGTGAAGAGTTTTGAATTGTATAGAATACTTGCATACAGTTATGTATTTGTGTAATGTTGGCATGGGAATATGGCAATACAGCTATACTCTTCACATCGCTAATTTTGCTGAAGTTAGTACTGGTGAAATGGTTTTTTATGGCCAGAAGATCTTAGAAATTATGTGTGCTGATGGGCTATGTCTGGTTTTATCCTCCTACTGTACTGTCTCTCCCACAGAGCACTATTGCACAATGAGGATTGCAAACAGGAGAAAGGTACTGGGTTTTCCCTCATTTAGCATGGGGGGACAAGCTCTCTGAGCCATGCTGTCCAGCATGACAGCCACAAAAGAGGAGTACAGGCAGAAAGTTGGGGAAAAATCCAACTTCTGGTGTTTAGATGGATTTCTGCCAGCACTGGGACCAAACGCGTAAAGCCTGAGGAGCAGGGACTCTGCACCATGATGCACAAAGGCTGGGTGAGGAACTTCAAAGAGGGTTGTCAGTGAGTGGGAACGTGATCAGAAAGGGAGGCTGCACCTGCAGCCAGCTTCAGAAGGGCTGCAGCACAGCTACAGCCTTCAGCTTAGAACAGGCGTTCCTAAGGCAGCAGAGCAAGGCCAGCAAGGGCCAGGCACTCACACCTCCTGCTACAGCCCAGGCAGGGAGACTTCATATCCCAGTCAGGCTAATCTTTGAGTTCTGCTATTTACCAATGCAACAAAAAATATTACTGCGCTCACTAACCTTCTATTCTCTTATCTTTCCAGCAATCTTGACACAGAAGAGCTCTGCGGTAAGTTTCTTTTTGGGCAAGAACATAATCTATGCCTGCAGCAGCCCTGTGCAAGTGAACATACTATGTGATATGATTTTTTTATGTTTAATCTTTGTAGCTCAAACAGAAAATAATTTTGATTGAAAGAACTCCTGAGAAAATGCAGATGGCTCAATCTTTTCAGACTCTGTCATCCATTACATGCAGAAATGACTTCAAAAATATTTTTTCCTAATCAATACTTCACATTCTCTGAGCTTCAAGATCTGTTCTGATGTAAAGATAGATAACGTTTATCTTATTTCCCTTTCACGTGAGATATTTTTTCTAGTTAGTTGATCACTTTGAAGTATGAGTGCTTTGGCAATTTTGAAACAGATTATCACATTAGTACCCCACTAGAGGAAAATTCATTACTTTCCTCCAACTTGAGACAGTGAGAACAGCAGTTTGACAAGTTCTATCATCCTTCATCACAAAAAATTCCCACAAGGCTTAGAATTTGGCCCAGTTACCCATTTCTGTACCCCATCCTGGGCTGTGAGTCATTTCCCAAAACCCTGTTTGCTCTCCAGCTGATCTTACAGCACCTGATGTAGGAGTGCTGCTTACAGCAAAAAACAGTTCACAAAAAATTTCTGCAAGTCCTCCCACAAAATGTCAAAAAAACAGTTATACTTGTCAAAACCAGCCTATTTCTGAGGGAGAGACAGTAGTCTGATAAATTTTCTAATGGTCAACAATGTTGAAAACCTATAAAAGCTGAAAATACTGTCATGTTGCATGACAGCTCATTTACTCACCCACAAGGTGACTCTACCCATGGCCAAGAACCCACTGAGAAGCACCTCAGCCTGTGGCTTATAAATATATGACATGAGACTCAGCTGAATTGAATTGGGCTGTGATGACTTCTGCTGGTTGAGCATCTGGCCAAAATTATATAAAAATGGCCAAGGAAGACAGGTGGTTTTGTTCTTCAAGAGATTTACTGCTGTTGGTGTTGTATTGGAGGCTTACAGGTTTGCTCAGTGCTTGACCCCACTAGCCACCTCAGGCTAGCAAGAGGGCTGAGGGGTTCTCAGCCCAGCACTGCTTCTGTTTACTGTCTGTTTTGATTGAATATGGGCTGCTTCAGCTGCCTTTTAAATTTTTCATAGATTGCCTTTACAGTGTTTCTCTTCTGTGAATCTGGTACTGAGTTTACTCAACACATGTTTAAGCTAGGGATTATACACCTCTTTCTGAGTTATCTCAGTTCTCCTCAAAAATGAAGCTTCATTTCCAGGATACTAATTGGCAATACATTTTCATTCTAAATCATTTCATTCAACCTCTCAGCAATACCAGGTTATGTCACAGTGTTCCTGAAACTTTATGCTTTCCTGACTCCCTGAGAAGCTCATGCTGACCTCTTAAAAGCCTCAAAGTATCGCTATTTATTATTTCAGAAAGCTTCTATCTAATCTTGTTCTTTCTGTCTGCCATTTAGACTTTGTTTTTCATGCTCTTCCAGGTGATCAGATGTCTAAATGCCTTGTCTAAAACAGTCTCTAGCTTTAATGTAATTTTCTTTCTTTTTCACACTTATTCCTTCCTGGGCCTCCCTTTATTGTATTTTGCTGCATTGACTAAATGGGAACTTGGGTCATGATTTCCCAGGTTTGCCGCCTCCTCTTGCTGTAATCCCTCTGAGTTATGCTCCCTGATTTTATATGAGCTCTTTCTGTTAAAATGTCCTTTGCTTTGAGCAGCTAAGCAAGGGTATCCTGCAACCTATGTTATTTCCATAATTTTTGTTAAAAGTATTTTGCATGCATCATATTTGTTGAAAATATAATCACAGTACCTGGGACTAGAAGCTTATCTGGCCAACTCATGGTCTCTTCATTTCTTGGAGAGAAACAACTGGTCTCAGCTGACCCTGACTCACAACAGCCCCCATTTGATCTTATCTCCTCTAAGGGTTTTACCAGAATTATTCATTTTTGTATCAATATAATAAGATTTAGTGCACACACATGAAAACTTCATTTCCTGCTAGTAATTGTAAAGCAGACTATTAGGCTGAAAATCCAGTTTAGAAAGAAAATGTAGATATTTTGAAAATAGGTCTGTTTCAGCTCTCAAACTGATATTTTAAATTTTTGTCAATTTGGCAATGCATTTATTGAAAGAAAATGTTTTGAAACACTGATTTTGGTATTTTTGGTGCTCCAGGAATGATTTTTGAGGGGGAAATAATATAAAACTTAAAAATAAAATCATCCTTTTCACTGTAACTCTTGTTCATTTTATATATTTAGATAGTTAATAATACCATAACTGAATTCAGACTTGATAAAATTGATATTTAATGAAATATTGATTTTTCAGGTCATTAATGGGTGACGTGGGTTTTCTTCTTTTAGAATATTTTTCGCAGCACTTAGGAGAGTATGAAAATGTTCTATCTGTCTTGGAAGACTTAAACATAACCATACTGAAGGCAATGGACAAAACAAAGAAAGTAAGTAAAAATGTGACAATTTCTTTACATTATATATTTTATTTGAACATGTATCCAGTATTTTTCTTATCTAAAGTTACTAATTCATACTTAAGTTCTTCCACATACACATGTTTGTAGCAGAAGTCCACCAGGAAAAGGCACATCAAAATGGTTGAGTATCAAAGATGTAAAGCTCTGTCTGCAAAGTATTACAGTTTGGATATAACCAAAATTGTCTTTGCGAATAATCTGAAGAATGTTCTTCACATTGTCATACTAAGAGAGGGTTCCATGTCCTATTGTTGTGGTTTAACCCCAGCCAGCAACTAAGCACCATGGAGCCACTCGCTCACTCCCTCCCACCCCACCCAGTGGGATGGGGGAGAAAAATCGGGAAAAGAAGTAAAACTCGTGGGTTGAGATAAGAACGGTTTAATAGAACAGAAAAGAAGAAACTACTAATGATAATGATAACAGTAATAAAATGACAACAGCAATAATAAAAGGATTGGAATGTACAAATGATGTGCAGGGCAATTGCTCACTGCCCGCTGACTGACACCCAGTTGGTCCCTGAGCGGCGATCCCCCTCCCCGCCCCCAGTTTCTATACTATAATGTGACGTCCCATGGTATGGAATACCCCGTTGGCCAGTTTGGGTCAGCTGCCCTGGCTCTGTCCTGTGCCAACTTCTTGTGCCCCTCCAGCCTTCTCGCTGGCTGGGCATGAGAAGCTGAGAAATCCTTGACTTTAGTCTAAACACTACTGAGCAACAACTGAAAACATCAGTGTTATCAACATTCTTCGTATACTGAGCTCAAAACATAGCACTGTACCAGCTATGAGGAAGACAACTCTATCCCAGCTGAAACTAGGACACCCATGCCAAATGTGAGTAAGTATTATCAGCATATCAGTATTTGGAAATAGTCTGAATTTGAGAAAAAAAAAAATCCAAATTTTTGAAGTAGAAAACATGTTGGTAAAAGATGCTAATGACTTAAACTACATTAATGACTACAATTAAATTAGGTAGGCAAGAGTTATCTGGAGACATACTGGGGAGTTGTATTTATGTTATTGTTAAATGTAGATTCCAGGATAGTTTAAAGAGATTAAAAAGGGCTGGAATATCTCTCCCCATGTTCCCTGAAGCTGAACCCCAGTACTGTCATGATTATAAAACCATCCTGTAGGCAGCAGCTGTGCATCCAAACTACTTAGACCCAAAATATAACTGGCCAGTGTAAATCACTTGAAAGTATTTCTGATAGTAACAACAGAAGACACGGAAATTTGGGTTGAGTGAAACCTCCCGACCAAGAACAAGATTTCATTTCCATTTCAGGCGTTTTAAGCAAAAACAGCGCTCAGAGTCTGCAAAGAGGAGGTGTTAGGGCTGTTGCCCACCCGCGCAGCGAGGGGATGCTCACCCGGGAGGGAGGAGACCTTTCCCAGGAGGAGAAGTTGGGTTTCTCCATCCGTCTGCCCGACGGGGGATGTAGCTGTGCTGCAGGACATGCGAGGCGGCTGAGCCTCTTGGCACTCAGTTCAGTACGGTCGTGCCTGCTCGTTTGTTCAGACCTGCTCGTTCATACCACTTCCTAGCTAGATGTCAAGACTTTGGGTAATATGCTCCTTTTCCCTGGCTGAACAGTTAAATATTCTGTGCAAGGTGGAACAGCTTCAAAAGGTGAGAGAAAGCATAAACCAGGGAAGGACGTGAACCTAGACCCTCCAAACCCTGTCCCAGACCCACACCATGAGATTATTCACTGGAAGGTGAGCCATCAAGAACAGAAATTTCAGCCCAATGTACTCAGTGAGATCCCATGGGGGGAAAAAACCTTTTTTTCAGTCAATCAATGGAGAGATCAATGGGGAGAAAGCTGTGCTGCTTTAGCGAAGCTGTTATCTTTGGCATTTGGGTGTTTGCAAGAGTGCAGTACTCATACATTTTACATGAACTGCCAAAAATAGAAACCTGAAAGTGTAGCTTATTTATTTAGTGCTTGAGCCAGTAAGCTGAATGCCTCTCCATTCATGTTGTGCATCTTCCACTCCTAATGAAGTGAATGTGCGCTGACTCACTGCCTCATTGAGCTGGACACTAAAAAGCAACAAATCAGTTCATTCTAGCTATGCACAATTTGAAAAAAAAATAAAAAAAATTAGCCCTGTGTTTAAACTACTGCTAAAGGGCAGGGTGTCATCTGATAACTACTGGAAGTAAATAGAACACAGCATTTAATAATTACCTCAGAAGTTAATTACAAGGAGGAGTCCCAGTAGACTAATCAGAGTTGTGAGAAGTAACCATTGGCCTGACTAGAAAAATGGATAAGAAAACCCAGACTATTAATAAGTGTTTCATTTTTCTGCTTGAAGGACCCATCTAAAGAATAACCAAATGACAATTTCTTTGAATTTTGTTTTCCTGACTGAAGATTCAAGCTTAATGGTTTTTCTCTCTTTCAGGAATATTCCAACTGACTATTCATTAGTGGTGGCTGAACTAGAGCAAGGCTAACACTGGGAAGAACACTTCTAATTCCAATTAGTAGAAACAGTGTGTGAACACAGTCGAGCAAAAAATGTATCCTCAAATATTCTAAAGTAGAGCTTTCTGCCAAGGATATGCCCAGCAACTACAGCTTTGTACAGAAATTAAATTCTCAATTCAAAATTGGGATTATTCACAACAGGAACTCAGTTCTCAGGAAACAGGTTATGTGACTTGACTACCTGATAAATCATTGGAGTGCAAATATTAAAATTTCCATCTTAAATAGCCCAAGTTTTTATTGAAGTTTATGGTCTAAAATCTGGAATATATCCATCTAAAACCAGAGCTGGGGGTGCAGCAAAAGCTAGTTAGCATACTGAGATAGCATGGATAAATGATGTTCACCATCAGTGACACACTAGATGTGATGTAGCTCCTAGGTCAAGTTGACTCCCCAGCTCAGAAAAGCAGGTGCTCAGAAATGTGTGGTTGGTTATAAATGGCCATTGGCATGTATCAGAGCAAGTCTTGGGTTTCCTCTCCTGGTACAAAATAAAACTTTGTCACTGCTCTGCCATTGCAGCCACCTGGTCCCTTGAATAGTCACTGAGTAATGGGAGCATTTATTACTATCTTCTAAGCCATCACCTAGTTGGAAAATTCATATATAGAAAAAAAGCCCAGAATTGAAGACCTGTGCTGTCAGAGCTACAAAGACATGGTGTACCTATAGTGGCTGAGTCAGTTTCCAGTGATCAGTACCAAATTTCCAAGGACCAAATTATCCTATTAAAAACCAAAAGTAAAAACTGCCAAGACTGGTCCTGAACTCTACTCTGCAGAGCATGGGACTGGTTATGGACCCAGTCCTCAGGGTTGCCATGAGCTTTCCACTCCCTCTGACTTTTCGTGGATTGGAGAAAGTTCAGCACCTCTTACTACCAGTCTCTGCTAAACTTTCCCAGAGTGCATGCCACTCTGTCATGAGGTGGGCAACTCATTCAGTCTTAAATATTTTTGGGGAAAAAGGAGCAACTTGGTACTTCATTTATTTTATTTATCCAGTTTAGAGTCAGATAAACAATCACCACTCCGTCCTTCCTATAGAAAATCCCTGCTTTCCTTCCAGTTCAGGTTGCTCATACTCAGTAGATACTTTGCATGAGAGGCAGCTGCAAAATCAGAGCCCCAGAAAAATTGTTCAGCTTCAGTTTCCAAGGAAACCCCGGAGAAGGAAGATGTGTCAGTCTTCAGTGAAAAGCTGAACATGGATCAGCATGTCTGAAAAATCTAAAACCCTAATCTATAACCCCTCCTTATTCCAGATATAGACAGAACTAGAAATTACACACACACCACACACACCCCCAAATGTATTGTTTAATAGACTTTACTTTTTGGCATATGTTAATCTAAGTTTGATAACACCAAAGTGTGTGGCATTATTTGAATCATATCCTTAAATCCAGTACCCAAGTGTGTACCAGGTAGCTTTTGCACATGTTGTCTTGTTTTTTTAATTCACAATCAGTTTTGAAAATCACATGCATTAATGAATAAATACCTTGGGGTTTGTTTGCAAATATTCCCAACCTGTTCAGCCTTTAGACAGAAAGATCTCCCACCGGGACCAACTGGAGTTTGGCCTGGCTACAGACTCCTGGATTTAAATTAAGATCAACCAAATTGTCCCCATCACTCCAAATTATTTCCATGTGTAGATATTTTTAACCCAACAGATTAGCAGATAACTGACTCCTGCAAGGTAATTGCAGCATAATTTCTGTGTACTTTATTTCCCTCTGTGGTTTGAAAGAGTTGTCAGCACAGCTTTCTTGAACTGAGCTTTTCTCCAGTCTTCCAGTCCTGTGCTATTTGAAAGTGAAAATACCAAGTCATCTATGGGAGAAAACATTCCAATGTGTTAGTAGGTTCAAGAAATTTTGAAACCAGACTTCTTTTCACTGTTCTGGGGCCAGATCCCTCCAGCCTAACCAAACTAAGCAGCACCTGGGAAGACAGGAAGCCCTCGGGGCTGTAGGAGTGGTTCATGCTCCATTGCTGGAAGGTGCTGAGCTAAAAATGCAGATAACTAGATATAGCAAAGGACATCTTTCAGCAGGGAAAAGGCTGAGTTGCATTTGCAAGAAACACAGTTTTAATACAAAAACCATCTTACCAGAGGATGCTAGGGGAGCTACGGTCCTTCTGTTTTGGTACTTGTCTCTTGTGTTTTATCCTTACACAAGGAAGGGAAACACATATCTGAGGATTTTTAAAGAGATTTGTGGCATTTGGTCTTTGATCATTTCTCTCATTAGGATGGAGAGTCTGCGTGAGTTGCTTATAGAGGAGTGGTGAGGACAGATTAATCATCAGTGTCAGTTATTTTTCCTGTACCTGCCAGGTTGGTATTTTCCTGATCAAAGTACAAGCTGGGATAGTTCTGTTTATCTCATTTCTTCTTCATCTTATATACAGGAAGCATTAAAAATTAAATACTCAGCAAAAC